TTTTAATGTATATTTTTTAGGTCTTATAATGAAACTGGGGGCCTGCGTGGGTTTTCCCCGGGTACTCCAGTTTCCTCCCACATTCCAAAAATATGCGTGGCAGGTCAATGGAACATTGTAAATTGTTCTTCGGTGTGAGTGTGTGCACAGATGGTTGTTCGTCTGTGTGCCCTGGAGATGGTCTAGATATGCATTTTGTGTTTTGGGGGTTAAAGTTCAGCAATAAAAGCTATTTCAATTTCCCCAAATAACGTATTTGTTTATCATTCCTGTTCAGAAATTCTTTAGCAGTCAGTGTTAGATAATTGTCAGTTCTGTATAAGTGCATGTGAATAACATGTTATTTATGACTGATGAATGAGCCATTGATTGGTGAGCAGTTTTTGATAGATTTAATCATGCAAAATGGCGCAATCTACAGGGAAGGTGAGGGTGTGTGGTGTGCTTATGGCATGGAATGTTAGTTTCATTTTTTGGGGGGCGGAGTGGGGGGGGGGGGTTCTGCCCTCCCCTCCCCCAACTCTTAACTTTTGTGATTTGAAAAGTGCATTGTACTCCATCGCAACATCAGTTCGTTTTGATGAATCATTCAATCCTAAAGTTTATTAACATCTAACAATATGTAAAAGCTCTCAAAAGCCCAAACTGTTGAAGTTAATTAAATTCAAAGAATTCAAACCGTTGGACACCGATTCATACCTGGGGTATGATAGGATTTGAGGGTGTTACATTTTAAAGCATGTAACGGCTCGGTTAAATCAAAAACAATCTCTCCGATTCAAATGACTTTTTTTTAAATTTTGTTTTGTTTTTTTACACCCCTGTTAATTATGTATCAATACCAAATAAACAATAATCTGTTAATTAGCAATAAACACAGCATTGAACTTTAATATAATTTTTATTCGATTAATCGATAGAATAACCCAAAAATATTCCATAGTAACAGTCCTCGTTGTTTGATTCCCTAGTTCTTGATTTCACAACCTGCATCTGTTCGATAATGAAGTACAGTACTTGCTACATAACAAAGTGAGTTCTCTACAACAACAAATGTGAAATGCGTAAGTGGCGTTCTTCTGTTTCAGGCAAATGTCTGGTACAAATGTGAGCACGAAGCTTCAGCTTGTCTCGTCAAAGAAAGCTGCTGTTGATGACTACTTGGCCAGCCTTCCGGTTAGCATTTTGTATTCTGGTTTTAGAATGCTTCATTAAGGCATTTTTTGTGTCAAGAAGAACAAACATGTTGTCCATTATTGCAGACACAATCTGTCACTCCAGAAAGTGGCCCTTGGC